ATCAGTGATTTTTTAAGTAAAGAGAAAATAGAAAAAGAGGGAAAAATATAGAGAAAATGTAATTAGAAAGATTGAAATAGAGATTAGAAATATATTAAATATACACCAAGAAAACACAGGACCACACACCCAACATCTGTCAGCTCACCTAAAAATGGATGAATACATGGAGGGCATATATAAAAATATACACATACCCATATACACTGCTCAAAAAAATAAAGGGAACACTTAAACAACGCACGCTAACTCCCGATCTTAATCAATGAAATATTCGCATTGAGTACTTTGTTCTGTACAGAGTTGAATGTGCTTCACAAAAGTTTGATTTACTTGGACTTAGCCTGCGTTGTTTAAGTGTTCCCTTTATTTTTTTGAGCAGTAGTGTTCCCTTTATTTTTTTGAGCAGTAGTGTTCCCTTTATTTTTTTGAGCAGTGTATAAAGATATACATACAAACATGCCTACATTCATACATGCTGTAGATATACTGTATACATACAGACATATACACACACTCAGTGACCAGTCAGAACCCCTCGGATCAAAAAATAAAAAAAATGAAATGACTGCTGCTGATGTATGAAAACAAAAAGTCAACTTTTTAACTTAGATAGATTTTTACAAACATTACCATTACAGAACAAAAACTAGCCTTATCTAATAGCAATATTTATGTTTTAGAGCAAATAATACAACATAACCAAGTGATTATAGCAAAGATCTAAAATTCTGTTAGTTTTACAGATGATGAGATAAAGTTTGATGTGGTTGTAGCTGAGACATACTTAGAGCGATCACAACCCTGTCAGTCTGTTAGCAAAATATCCCTTGAACCACCTGGTGGGTTTTAACAGTGAATATTAAATAAACACTGTTTTCTGTGTCTCTGCAGACATTTCTTCAACAAAGAGGGAGATTTCAACAATCTGACAGCTGCTGCCTTTCACAAACCCACTCACATCCTGGTCACGGCCTTTGCCTCCGGGATCTTCCACCTACATGAACTGCCAGAGTTTAACCTGATTCACTCTCTGAGGTCAGGGACCGCATCGTTCGTCACAGAAAACAGCACAGTTCCCCTGCTGGTACACTAGCTGATCATTTGTTTCCCTGCAGTATTTCAGACCAGAGGATTGCCTCGGTGGCCTTCAACAGCTCTGGAGACTGGATTGCATTCGGATGCTCACGTAAGAGTTAACTTCCTGTTTTTAGTAGTGGTGAGAACCACCAGGCACTGCATTAGATTATGATTCAAAAGACTTTGATGTGATTGTTAAATGATAACTGTGTCATTTGAATTTTCTGCAAAGATCCAGATCGCTGATTTACGTATTTTAATGCCTAATATAAAGAGTTCTTCTACTTCTTTATTCTAAATTAAACTGTAAGAATTTCAATAAGACTGAAGAGACTGTGGTGGAGTTGTTGGGAGTGTCGTCCTGTAACCGGTGGGTTGCTGGTTCCATCCCCATTCCATCCATCTCAGTTGTGTCCTTGGGCAAGACACCACCTGCCTTGCCTGCTGCTGGTGGTCAGAGGGTCCAGAGGGGTGCGTGTGCATGGCAGCCCTGCCTCTGTCAGTCAGTGTGAATGACTGTGTAAAGCACTTATAAGGACCTGATAAGGTGTTTCAGTCTATTTACCGTTTAAGCAATAATCAATTAACCTATGTTAAAAATACATACCAAAGATATTGCCATTTGCATCATGTGTAACTGGAGATTTATGAGTGTCTTTCACCAGAAATTAACGAAAACAGGACTTCCACTTTGTCAAGTATAGGCCTGGAATTACTGATGACTTCACTAGATCAATAAAATTAAAGTTGTCAAACGATTCAGTTTATAAACATATTTAGTCTCTTACCAGTCCTGGTGATTAGTTGTCAAAATTCAACTAACTACATTTCATTTTGAAGCTTTTATGATAAAGAATTAGAAAAAAAATAACTGCTTAGCAGTGGCACATATAGTCCCAACAAGAACGCAAAGCAGTAATCCACCAGAAC